CACCACTGTAACTGTAAAATGCTACTGTAATATGTAACTACATGCTATTGGAACATGCTATTGTAACATGCAACTGTAACATATAATACTGTAGTAACAAGCTACTGGAACATATTACTGGAACATGTTACCGTAACATGCTACCAGAACATGCTACTATTTTTTACACTAAAAAATTCAAGGTTTGATGCTTTTCAGTATTTTTTGTTTTGTTTTTGTTAATATGATGGTTTTCTTAAGAGAATATATAATATGACTAATTTAAAGGTCTCGCATTCCTGGAATGATTTATATCACCCGCCACATTTTATGTCAGAGTTTTAGACAAAGATACATTTATTTTATAATTAGAAAGTTGTAACTTCTTTGGTCAAACCTTGGAAATAACATTATGCATGATCTCAGGCCGTACAATGCATCATCTGTAAGTGGAGTATTTTTTAATGACTCTCAGGTACTACCACACCAAATTTCAGCTCAGTATTTATAAAACCAACGAGTTAGAGACATTTTTGAGTAGGCTAAGGTTGATTAGCTGTGGCGGTCATCTTGAATTGGGTTCACTCTAAAAATTAATCAGTTTTAGATGTACATTTAATAGTTAATTTCTGAAAGTTTCATTCAAATATGGTCTGTAATTTATGAGCTATTTTGCTAATGGTACAAACAAACAAACTCACACAGACAAAAAATGATCTCTCCCATCTTCACCTTACTGCATGACACTAACAGATTCATGTTAAAAAAAAAAGTCAACCTGAAGGGAAATAATATACTGTATGTGCTGCAGTCGGACTAAGTTTTTATTCTCCCTCTGCTCTTAGAGGATGTTAAACTTCTGCTAACGATTCACATTTTTACAAAACATGCAGTAATTGTCCTCTTCTAATCCGTTTTTTTTTTTTTTTTTTGGTTTATGTTGTTTTTCAGAGCGATGTTGTCACTTTGATGCTGTTGTGCGGTAAAACCCAGAGACAGATCGAAACTTGGTTCAGACTCCGCAGGAACCAAGACCGACCCTGTCAAACCAAGAAGTTTGCTGAAGCTGCGTGAGTGATTCTTGCCCTTTCAAAAACTGTGCTTGAGTTTCACACTATTTTTTTTAAATTATTAAAATCCATTAGATTTGGTAAAAATAAATAAATAAAACACTTATCTTGAGTGTTATTTTTACAGTTGGAGGTTCTTTTTCTACCTCACAGCCTTTGTGTTTGGATTGACCTGTTTAATCGATGTGAGTATAACTTAAAGAAAACTATGTGGCATTACTAAAATAAGACATTTAGGAGACAAAGCCAGCAAACAGAATCTGAAAAAATAAAAAAAAACAGATATTGCGTGTCCTGTTTTACTCTTCAGTTTAAAATGGTTTCATCGTTTATCTTTCTTGTCCCACTCTGGACAGAGACCCTGGTTCTGGGACCACAGAGAGTGTTGGAGACAGTATCCAGTTCAGGTGAAAACAACTAAATGTATTTCTACCTCACCGATACGCAGCTCAGCCTGTAAATAAAGGCTTTTGGTGGCTTTTTATTCAAAGATCAAAGTTCTTTAAACGTCCTTTTAATGCTTTTTAAACTTTTATAAAGCCTTTAACACTGACTACTAGAAAGTTTCTCGTTTATCTTTTTGTCTGTCAGCACAAAAATGACTTTAACTCAGTCATTTTTACACGTATTGAGCAAAACTCTGACGTGGTAGTAGCTGAGAGTCATTCACGACACGTAGTCTGTGACATCTTGCGATGCCGCATCAGATCCAGGTTTGAACTGTACAGCTACAACTCCATCATTTCTCCACCTAATCTCTGTGCAAAACTTTGGCATGAAAGGTGGCGAGTGATATGCCTTCCTTCAAAAAAAACGCCTTTTGTTTCGTACTACCGTATTTTTCGGACTATCAGGAGCACTTAAAATCCTTTAATTTTTTCAAAATCGACAGTGAGCCTTATAATCAGGTGCGCCTTATGTATTAATTCTGGTTGTGCTTACTGACCTTGAACCAAATTTATCTGGTTATTGTGACTGAGTTGAATAAAGTTTGACTTATCTGTTTTTGTTTCGCTTAATGCGCCTTATAATCCGGTGTGCTCTATAGTCCCAAAAATACGGTAATTTAACACTTGTTTCAACACAAGTCAAATGACAAACTTAAAATAAAATGAGGATCCAGAGCTACATGTTCCCACTCGTTTACATTTTCAGCTGCGTTCATTGATATTGTTATAAATAATACTGCGGTTAATACGTGTGAGCCAAATGTAATGTGTTTTTATTAACATGTGTTTCTGTCAGCCCATGGAGAGAGCGCACTTCTGGTACTACATGTTGGAGTTGGGCTTTTATGGCTCTCTGGTGCTTCGGATCTTTGTGGACGTCAGAAGGAAGGTGAAAACGTCGACGTTCATACATTCAGGACTGCGTTAGCTTCAGCTCGTTTTATATTTCACGCTTCGCTGCAGCGTCGTAGCAGCTATAACGAGAAACTTGCTTTAATTAGTAACTAAAACGACCAACTTCTGTTGACATTTGAAGTTGGTGTTTTTTTTTTTTACTCACTGCAGATTCTGGTTGTATCCGTTTTAATTGTTAGGATTTTAAGGAACAAGTGATCCACCACCTGGCTACCATCTTCCTGCTCACTTTCTCCTACTGTGCCAACTTCATTCGTATTGGCACCTTGGTGCTGTTGCTCCATGACTCGTCCGACATATTGTTAGAGGTATCAGCCTTACATTTATATATCCTTACACGTTGCCCCTCTATAATGACCACTTTGCTTCTCCTGGGAAGACCTGAGATGCTGGCAGTCTAATTGTACACTGCTTTACAATCAAAGATTCAAACTGCTCTTTATGCTGCAGGAAATGATGCGATATCTGCAGGAAACCCACTTCAGCAGGATGTTTATTAATCTTTGTTAATATTCTAATCCTAAAGTCTGCAAAGATGTTCAACTACGGCACTGGATGGAGGAAGACGTGCAACTCTCTGTTTGTTGTGTTTGCTGTGCTCTTCCTTGTGACTCGACTGGTGATTTTTCCCAGCAAGTAAGGTGGTTTTTATTTTTTTATTTTCATATATTGCAACTTTTTTGTTGTTGGAAAACTGATTCTACTCGTTTGATTTCTTACAGAATCCTTCGCACCACCCTGCTGCTGTCCATGGAGGTGTTTCAGCCTTTTCCTGGCTACTACTTGTTGAACGTCTTGCTGCTGGTGCTGCAGGTTCTTCACGTCTTCTGGGCAGGTTTAATCTTACGCATGCTCTATAAGTTCCTGAAAGGCAAGGTGAGACACAACGATGCAATGGATCAAGAAATTTATTATCCTTTGAATATAATTTAGAGAACTGTTTTCTCGTTCAGAGATCTTTAGATGTGTCCGCTTTAGTCATTTTTATCCTGCGTCTGCTTCTGCCCAAAGCTGGAAAAAGACGAGCGCAGCGATGAAGAAAGTGCTGAGGAGGAAGAGGAGGAGAAACGAGGAGACGAAAGCATAGATCGAGATTGTTGTTGGGAAAAAAGCAAAGAAACTTTGAACTCTAAACTGGCAAGGCTCACCAACAGCTGTGTCCTGAATAACATGACTCACCACAGGTCCTCTGTAGCCAAGAGGATACGAAAAGCTCAATAACTACCTTTTTTTTTTAATATTAAACCCACTTTACTTTTACAAAATTGTGTCAGACTTTAATGCAGCCTTAAAAATATTTTGTTGTATCATTTAGTAATGTAATAATTGAGTGTTTCCTCCCCTACAGTTTGCTCTGTGCTTAGATCTTTATTAATTTCAAATAAACCATCAAGTCTAATTGTTTGTATTTGTTCATTATGAAAGCAGACGTATCTCACCTAAACGTATTGCAGTGTAGCTGATAAGACAAATATGAAAAACATCTGCTTTAAGTATGAAGTAAATGATAAAAATCCTTCGTTCAGAAAAACAGATTTGGGATGCTGACTGAAGAAAAGTTAAAACCACCTCCACTCACTACTCAACATCCAGAGTAACATTCATACTCTCCATTCCAGCAGTTACAATTTTATATATATATATATATATATATATCTGTTTTCTTTCTTTTTTTTTACTTTAACAATTACAATACAAAACAAAAAGTACCAAATCTTACAATAGAAAGTTACAAAAGGTGATTCATAACATAGTGGAAATAAGAACAAACGAGAGAGAAATAAGGCCTTATATTATATGAAGAAAATGAAATTAACCAAGAAACTAAGAAATTTGCCGGCATTTTTTTAAATTGACATATTTTAAAGATTTTTGTATAGGACTTTAGCTCATTCTTCCTCTGGTTCATAGTAGGTTTACTTTTGAAAAAACGGCATTTATGAACATAATGTTTAGCTAATATAATCAGATTATTGATAGCACGTTCACTATTTCCGTTCTTATTAATTAACCCAAATTGGATTTCTTTTGAAGTGATAGTAGTTGAATCCCTTTGGATTGGATCCACATCTTAAAATCAAGCCAAAATTTCTGAACTATCATGCAATCAAAGAAAAGATGTTCCAGGTTCTCAATCTCACAAAACCCACAATTCTCAGTGTCCATTTTAAATTTTAGAAATTCCTTAGTAGGATAAATTTTATTTAAGGTTTTAAATTTAATTTCATTGGCTTTAAGAGGGACCGGAAATCTGATCTTTTTACTGTCTTCTTGTCTAAAGTCCTTCAGAATATATTCTCTCCTAAGTAAATTAGGAGAATAGTGATGCAGTAGATGGGTTCTCAAAAAATTATTATTACATCAATAGAGAAAGTAACCCCATCAATACAGAGTTGTTTCAGACTAGGGGAAATTTCACAGAATACAATATCTTGTTTCACCATAGCCCTAAGAGAGACTGGAATAGCCTTTAAAATTTGGTTATATTTATTCTCAGCGCAGTGGATTTTAAATTTTTTACAGAACTCTTGATAGTGTAAAATGTTTCCTTCGTTGTCCATAAAATGAGCCACAGCCTACATGTCTTTAGAACACCATTCCTCGATAAATATAGATTTTTTTTTTTTTATTAATCAGAATGTACCATGTATTATTTGGTGTGAAATTATGACTGAAAATGAGTTTCCAGTAAAGAACCTGTAGCCAAATGGTCATTAAAATTTTAAATTTGTTCTCATTTAACTACATTTAACTAACCTGGTTAAAGTAAGGTAAAAATTGCAAGGAAAATGAGACAACAGAAAAAAAAAAAGCTAGCAGAGGATGGTTTCGATCCATCGACCTCTGGGTTATGGGCCCAGCACGCTTCCGCTGCGCCACTCTGCTTCATGCTCAGTACACGGAGCAAATTCTTTATTTAAAGATGGTCACACCGGTTTTGGTACGTTCATTTTTAGAATTGTGGCAGCTTTTTTTTTTTTTTTTTTTTTTACATGAGACCTATTTCTGTGCGTGTTTGACTAATTTAAAATGACTGTATTTCGTTAAGTTTTGAACATCGTAGTATTTGTAGTCTAGTTTGATCACGTGCTTCGTTTGCTAGTCCCGTTAGCCGGCTGTTATTTTAGCTCACTTAACAACTGTTAGCAGACCAGGTTCTTCCAGCTGAATCCACGTGAACACCGAAGATACTTATTCTAATGACGGAGGAATAAATACACGTCATTCATCATCTTATCCTGATCAATCACCACACGTGACCTTTTATTAACCGCTCGTGTTATACGCAGTCAGAACAGGAAGTGCCCTTACAAAATAAAATACCAACACAAATGACAAATGAGAGCATACATATTACATAACAACAACCATTTAAGATCTTTATGTAGCCGCTGATAAAATATATAATTTAAAATAAAAAAGACCAAAAGCTAATATACACATCATCTAATTTTCATTACTTTATAAAATATATATGGATACTAACATGGATACTGACTTTTAACTTTTCAGGTCTCTCTTGTAAATGAGTCCCTGAGGCTCAATGGGACTAACCTGTATAAATAAAGGTTGAATGAATTAACACCGTGTTCGGCTGTTAACCGAAAGGTTGGCGGTTCGAGCTCACCCAGGGACTAGCACATTTACCGTATTATCAAAGTTCATGCTCAAAGAAATCATTGAGCATGAACTTTGATGTCTTGAACCACTTTGGCTGCAGTTGCCTGGGAGGAGTTGACGGGGGAGATGGCAGACTCCAGAAACCATCTTATCACCAGCAAACTAGTTGGTCCACTGTAGCAGAGTACTGCTTGGTGGTGGAAACAGTTTGTTTGTGACTTCTCAGATTGATGAAGCGTGTTGGATGGAGGGCGAAACGTCTCTCATCATAAAAAAAGGAACTGTCCAGATGACCTGACTCAACATTGTTGGATTTACCATATTATGTTTTTCAGAAAATGTAATTCTGTCTTTAATTCAATAATTCTTAGTCGGGTCAGCGGGACAGTTTCTTTTCTTTTTATTTTTATAGAGACGTTTTGCCCTCTATCCAGAGGGCTTCATCAGAGGAGTTCCAGTAAACTGTTTCTCCACCAAGCAGTAAAGTCCTTAACTGGACCAACCAGTGTGCTGGAGCTAAGATGGTTTCTGGGGACCGTCCTGTCCCTCGTCGGCTCCTCCCAGGCAGGCAGCCACAGCCAAAGTGGTTCAAGGCAACAAAGTTCATGCTCAATCATCCAGGTACCAAATCCAATAATTCTCAGTCGAGTCATCTAGACAAAAAAAAAAAAGAGAAAAGAAACTGTCCAGATGACCCGGCTGAGAATTATTGGATTTGGTGCCTGGATGATTGAGCATGAACTTTGTTTTCTTTTTAATATTTAATTTATTATTTATTATAATTATTTATTCTTGTTTTTATGTAATGATCAAACCATTACAGAACATCTGCATTTTTATCAACATTTGAATACCTCTTTGCATTAGATGCACAGTAGTGCATCCGCAGAATCCAAGCTGGTGTCATAGTAAGTAATACTTGAATGTGACACTTTGTTTTCTACTTGGCACGTCTTTTACGTTCAAATAAGTTTGACACTCAGTTCAGAAGTCTTTGATTCACTTTACTATTTTTATTTTATTTTCTTGGCAGTTTCTCTGCATGCACAGAGAACAGGTGCAGGACTGTATAAATGTGACGGCTTTGTTGAAAGACCTAAAAACTAGTTTACAACATTCAAAACCGGTTCTTTCAAAATGTGTTGACTTGCGTTAGTCAATCTATGACACGGAGCTTTTAGAACGCCTAATCACATTAGAAAACTTTGCGTAGCAGATGATGAAGGTGACGCTGAAGATAAAGCTCGTTGCCTCATCTCTCTCCCCACCCTTTAACAAACTCGTGCTGTCTCCTCTGCAGTGAGTTTTCTAGTCGGTGAAAGTCTGGACCTGGACGACAAGTCTCACAACTCAACGCCACTTTTCATTTGACACACAAAGGTAAGAACCACGCAATCAGAACATCCATTTCAGCATGCTATATTGTGTTCATGAAACTTTCTTTGGCTCCTTCAGATACTGAACATTACCAGTTTTATGAAAGTACAGTTTCGATGAGGACTCCGTCGTCATCCGCTTTCCTGTGTTCAGGAGGAATTTCAGTTTGTTACTTTGTAGTGAATTCACATTTCATTTGTTTAAATGGGATCTAAAAACTTTAACGTATGAATTAGTTGTTGGAGAAACATTTACCAATTATACGTCATTCGAGTGGATGCGTTGTCGACCACCTTGTTTCCACTTTAAACGTGCTGTAAAAAAAAAATCTGATTCAGAATGATTGTATCGATAGCAACGCAATTAAGTGAGGTGCTTTTATCTTTTTTGTCTTTAAATGTTATTCTTATTATTTCAGGATCACAAAAATTAAAATAAATCCTAACTAAAACATAAAAGGGCTTTCATTGAAAATATGTCATATCTCATGCACACAAGATGTGCTTAGCGTGTCAGACTACTGATAATCTCAACCTAATCTGATAAGTAAACTTCAGCCTGGTTTGCATTAAGTGTGTGTGACAACTGTGGATTCATGCACACAGAAGATTTAGATCTGTCGCTGTGTTTTACACTCCTGCTGATAATTTCTATAACCTACAAGTACAAAACCCCATGAAGTGGATTGATGAAAGTATCAAACTTGCAGAGTAACCAACTGCACATTTGAACAAATTTGCACAAATTTTTCACACGATCCGGTTCTGCTTTTCACTCGTGATCAAAAAACGGTGTATAACTTGTTAAATAAAATGAAAACAGTTATAGAGGTAGCTCAAAAATCATTTTTTAAACAAATAGCGACCAAACCTCACGCCAGTATGTGACAAGTTAGGCATTAATTAAGAAGAGGGAAATCAGACATGGAACAATACACAATTAAGACAGTTTTACAACTGGTGTATAAGAAAATGACATTTTCATGAAATGGAAGCCCCAGCTGACAAACGTTTAACCGGCTATTATTTTTTTACAAACCTGTTTTATTATTTCTTCTGCTCTGTTCACTGCAGGCTGTTTGCAGGATGTCCTCTGTCACTCAGGACGAAGAGGAGCTGCCTTCAAATCATACAGGTCAGAAGCATGAATCAGCTAATAGTCGTCAGTTGATCTAAAATGCGTTTTAATGAGAGATCATATCTCTCCAGTTTTAGCTTCTCTCAACTGGCTCCCTGACAAATTCAGGATACAATTCAAAATCTTACTTCTAACCTACAAAGCTCTCAATAACCTAGCTCCATCTTATATCACAGATCTTATTGTTCCTAACAGAGCACTTCACTCTCAGACTGCAGGTTTACGTGTGGTTCCTAGAGTTTCCAAAAGTAGAATGGGAGGCAGAGTTTTCAACTATCAGACTCCTCTCTTGTGGAATCAACTTCCAGTTTCTGTCCATGAAGCTGACACATTGTCTACATTTAAGATTTGGCTTCAGCCTTTCCCTTTTGATAAATCCCCTAGTTAGGATCGGCTTGGGTTTCCTGAGCTATCCCTTAGATATGCTGCTATAGGCTTATTGCTGGAGGATAAATTGACCACATTTCCTCACTCTGCTGCTGCCTTTACTTGTTCTACTCTGTTTGTATTTGTAATTATTTCTATCTTAACATTGTTTTTTTTTGGTCTTTCCTTCAACACCTGCACCTGTCATTTGTTTTGTCTGTTCCTAATTCCTGTTCTTAAAACCCAGCCGTTCGAAGCAGATGGCCGCTTGTCCTGAGCCTGGTTCTACTGGAGGTTTCTTCCTGTTAAAAGGGAGTTTTTCCTTTCCACTGTTGCCTTCATGCTTGTTCAGAATGGGAGACTACAGTGAACATTCACCGCAAACTTCTGTCTTCCTTATTTAACTTTTACTGATCGGCTTGTATGTGAATGTTTCTGTTCAGTGCCCTGAGACGAATTCTCTTGTGACTTGGCGCTCTATAAATAAACTGAATTAAATGCTGCTGTGTATAAACAAAAACTACATTTAGTTTGCAAGATAGACGTCAAATTAAGGAAACTTTCTCCTAAATTTAAAAACAGTCTATAACAGTTTCTATTACGAAACTTGGTCTAAATTTCCCAACTAACATCTTTGCTGCTTTTCTGTTTCTGTTCTGATTTTACAGCTCGGCCACATTAAACATCAAAAAGCTGCACTAACTGAGCCCGATGTCCAATTTTTAATGAAACATGAATATTTCAGCTTTAAATCATCATCAGAAATAAATTCAGTAACTCTGAGTTAGGAAAGTAGATATTTTGTGTGATTTAACCTTTGATTTAGTCAAGCATAAAACAGAATATGTCTTTGTGTTGTGTTATGGTTTACAAAGGCCTTTTGTAAAAAAAAAAAAAAAAAATCTTAATCCAGATCACATCTGTTTAAAATCCCACCACACATGCTGACATAAGAAACACTCAACCATTTTTTATTAATATCTGTTTTAGAATATAAAAAAATACATTTCATTAACAAAGTGGAATAATTTTATCCAAAGTGATTTGCATGTCTGTATGAAGTCGTGTTTTTGTGGCTGTATTTTTATGTGTCCAGGTCCAAAAGGTGTCATCAACGACTGGAGACGGTTCAAGCTGGACAGCGTGGATCCGACTGTCCCGCAAAGAAAGAGAGAGCTGCTGAGACAAATGTCCAATCCTCGAGAGGACGACAAGGAAAGGGTCAACAGAAAGGTGTGTGGGAAACACACAGAGCCACGTGGACTCGGCAACGTACGCATAAATGATTACATCAGGTCTGACGATCAAACAGTGAGGTGTGTTGCTTTTACTCAGATGAGCGCTCAGGAATACGAACTGATCCAAAACGAGGACGAGCACGGCCTGAAACGCTACAGGAAACACTGCATGCAGGAAATGCACGAGCGCTTGAGCTTCGGGCCAAAGTTTGAATGCGTTCACAATCTCGAGAGTGGGGAGGCCTTCCTGGAAGTGATAGAGAAGGAGCATCGGCTGACCCTGGTGGTGGTCCACATCTACCAGCATGGTGTCAAAGGTCAGGATTCCCTTTAATTCAGACACTTAATCATTTTCACCTGCATTTCAACCTCATATTTGTCCTTCCTGCAGGCTGTGAGCAGATGAACTCGTGTCTGGACTGTCTGGCGATGGAGTACCCCACTGTTAAATTTTGTCGTATTGATGCTGAGGCAACAGGGGCTGCGGAGCGCTTCTCCTCTGAGGTTTGTGCACGGTTTGGATCATTTTTAAGTTAAACTAGATGTAAAATCACTGTAATCTGGCACAGCATTTAAACGGCACAAAAACATTTTAATGATCAGTTACATTTTTTGCAGGCTTACTGTTAAATGGGACTGTACACTTTAGTGCATCAGGTCAAAGATGAACACTGGTCATGTTAAAAGTGGTGTTCTGCTTTTTGATCTGCTCCAAAGACTACCAGCAGCTGTGCTTTTAATTCCTGTTCTTGTCTTTCCAGGTTGTTCCTGCCCTGCTCGTCTACAAGGCTGGTGAACTACTGGGTAATTTCCTGGCCGTTACCAAACTCTTCAGCGAGGAGTTCTTTGCAACAGAGGTGGAGGCGTTTCTTAATGAATATGGCCTCTTACCGGAGAAAGAGTTTGCTGCGTGTGCCGATGATGCAGATGAGGCAGAAGATGTGGAGTAGAAGAAGAAGAGGAAGAAAGGAGAAGGCCATGAAAGAGTGAGACAGATATGGAAAAAATAAAGATGAAGAAGAGAAGCTGAGGAAATGAAGATGTGGAGGAAAACGGTGTTTGTCAGGATGCACGCACACAATTAAACAAAGCATAAACAATAAATATATAGTAATAAACTTTCACCAGTGCACAGCAAATGCTGATAGCTTTAGGTGTAAATGAAAAGATGAAGGATATTTGTGTTGAAATAGCAAACCAGTTCACTCCAATCAAAATGTTTCTCACACTAGTTTCTGTCTGTGTTACAATTTGACCAACAGGAAGTTATTTTAATAGATTACCATGTGACAGCAGAGGTAAATAATATATGCGGTGCATCTGTTATTAGGTGTGCTCAGTGAGAATGTATCTGACTAATAAGCTTCTGTAACTCAAGTGGTGAGCAAAGGTTTTATGCTGTGTAGGTGACACTGTGCCGAGGACGGAGTCATACGCCCTAACGCCAGATATCCTCAGATATCAAGTGGTACTTTGGCATTTATTAAACATCAGTGTGACAGTTTTTATTAGTGTTATTGTTGTTTTTATGTCATGACCTGTTTTCTCCATCAAAAAATAATGGGGGGGGGGGGGGGTGTTGTATTCTATTATTGAGAAAGAAAATCAAACTCATTAGCAGCAGTGCTTTTCTTGCATTTGCTTGAGATTGACCTCAACAATGCATTTTGTTCATACAAAAGATAGAAATAGACATTTTATTCATCCCCGAGTGGAATTAGGGAACTTGTAAAAATTAAAGAATTAAAAGCAGCATTCATAAAACAATAAATAAAAATAATAAAAACTATGAACAACATTACAGTAATGAACAAACCACGGAACGCAGAGCATATTTATAATTCTTTTGCTAATTTTTTTTTTACTCCATTTGCAAGTTGCATTTAGACATTTACTGAAACTTAAAAAACAGAAGCATATTCTCAGACATTGGTCTGTTTACTTCAAAGACAACCTTTACAGATGTGTAAACTTACAGATGTTTGCATTATAATAAAAACATTCTTACATCTGTGTATTTTATTTTAACTTCAAAGGCCCAACGAGAGGAAACCTTCAACTGTGAGCATTTTTTTAGTCTATGTGGACTGAGCTAAATGGAAATTATAGGTTTACAGTCTATCTATCTATCTATCTATCTATCTATCTATCTATCTATCTATCT